ACTGTGCATATAGTCGCATCATTTCCATCGAATCGAACAGTTTTCCTTCTGCTGCGATGCCAAGTCAAATCGCGCGTCTACATGGGGATTGGCTACTTGTGCTGTGACTTTTGGGCATGTGCTGTGACTTTCGCCGGTTCGAGCGTCACCATGCGGAAAAACAGCATTGCAACGACTTTCGACGGCCTGCCGCGACTTAACGCGACCACCCAGTAGCGTGGTGAAGACTGGCACCTCTCTCGGTAAGTTGAATGTGTCTATTGCGCTGCACCTAGCAGCTCGCAGCTCCAGGATCACCCAAAGCTGAAACCTAGTCGTTTCACAGGTGGCCGGCCATTTAAGGCTTAAGGAATCTCCCAATAAGAGCATTCTACTTGATTGCATATAGGAAATCTCAGGTTGGCCCCTCCAGAGGTAGCGGCAGCGGAACCTCCAGTAGCAGAAAGCAGCGATCTGGCGACACAAGCAGAGGCAGAGGAGCCATCTGCAGGGCCGGAGTCGGGCGCAGCGGCGACCGAAACTGAAGTGACTCCTCCATTGGCTCCAGATCCGAGTGCCGAATCAAATAGCCAGAGTGTGACAGCTCCGCCTGCGGCAAGCGGCAACTCGACCCAAGCCGTGAGCGCGGATGAAACAGCAGCAACCACTGCAGAAGTGGATAAAGAACCAACAACAGCTGTGGCCGATTTGACGATGCCGGAAACAGCGGCTGAAACATCGCTGGCTGAACCGACGAGGCAAGAGGAGGCATCAGAACCTCCTGACACAGCGCCGGCTGAATCGACGATACCAGAGGCGGGAGCAGGGACAGCTGAAGCCGCCGCCGAAGCCACCGTGGCGAAATCGACGATGCCAGAGTTGGGACAAGAAACCGCTGAAGCAGCCCCGGCTGAACCGACTCTGCCAGAAGCCGCCGAGAAAGCAGAAGCTGACTCGATGATGCCGGAAGCAGCTGCTGAACCAGCTCCGGCAGAATCGACGATGCGACAAGCCACAGACCAACCAGAGTTTGGAGCACCCTCGTCTCCGAGCGGTGTAGCATCTTCTGCTGCACCATCCACTCCTAACAACGGTGGGAGTGGGGAGCCAAAGCCGACAAAGGCTGAGCAGCGAGCCAAACAAACTGCTCCCTCAAGAGGAGCTCCCTCGCCCTCCCAGAAGCTGCAAAGAGCCGGCAGTGCACCACCAGCTCGAGGCTATCAAGTAGCACAGGCGTACAAACACTCCATCGATCTGCCCCCTCGGTGGAGCATCCGCCCCAAAACAAACTTTGGCTCACCTTTCAAGTCATCGAAGCAGGCGGACGAAGGTGGCATGGCACCTGACATGAGCTCCAAATACAACGAGATCAGGCCGCGAGCTCCAGCCTACAGTATGATTCCCAGAAGCTCTGGCATCACCAAGACGTCAGAAAAGCCGGGACCCGGCGAGTACGCGCAGCCCAGCACGCTGTACGGCTCGCACCCGCAGTTGCCAGTCCCAGGACGGATCTGCAAGTCCACCCAGCGGCGGACAGGCCCCACAGATCAGTTGGGGGAGATGAAGAACAACCCAAGCCCGCACGACTATGACACCATGTGCTCCGGGCCGGACAAAGGTCACAAGTTTGGCCGTGTGGATCAGGCATCTGCGCCTAAGTTCACCATGCGCCCAAAAGTTGCCTTCGGCTCGCAGTTCAAAAGTGCCAAGCAGGCAGAAGAAGGTGGCATGTCGGGAGACATGAGCTCCAAATACAACGAGATCAGGCCGCGAGCTCCAGCCTACAGTATGATTCCCAGAAGCTCTGGCATCACCAAGACGTCAGACCAGCCGGGACCCGGCGAGTATGCGCAGCCCAGCACGCTGTACAGCTCGCACCCGCAGTTGCCAGTCCCAGGACGGATCTGCAAGTCCACCCAGCGGCGGACAGGCCCCACAGATCAGTTGGGGGAGATGAAGAACAACCCAAGCCCGCACGACTATGACACCATGTGCTCCGGGCCGGACAAAGGTCACAAGTTTGGCCGTGTGGATCAGGCATCTGCGCCTAAGTTCACCATGCGCCCAAAAGTTGCCTTCGGCTCGCAGTTCAAAAGTGCCAAGCAGGCAGAAGAAGGTGGCGTGTCGGGAGACATGAGCTCCAAATACAACGAGATCAGGCCGCGAGCTCCAGCCTACAGTATGATTCCCAGAAGCTCTGGCATCACCAAGACGTCCGACCAGCCGGGACCCGGCGAGTATGCGCAGCCCAGCACGCTGTACGACTCGCACCCGCAGTTGCCAGTCCCAGGACGGATCTGCAAGTCCACCCAGCGGCGGACAGGCCCCACAGATCAGTTGGGGGAGATGAAGAACAACCCAAGCCCGCACGACTATGACACCATGTGCTCCGGGCCGGACAAAGGTCACAAGTTTGGCCGTGTGGATCAGGCATCTGCGCCTAAGTTCACCATGCGCCCAAAAGTTGCCTTCGGCTCGCAGTTCAAAAGTGCCAAGCAGGCAGAAGAAGGTGGAATGTCGGGAGACATGAGCTCCAAATACAACGAGATCAGGCCGCGAGCTCCATCCTACAGTATGATTCCCAGAAGCTCTGGCATCACCAAGACGTCAGACCAGCCGGGACCGGGACAGTACTTGTTGCCAAGCACGTGGCTTGGCGGCAGTCAGCAATTGGAGGTAGGTAGGTAGGTCGGTAGGTCGGCCTGCGGTAGGTAGGTCCCCGGTAGGTAGGTAGGTAGGTAGGTAGGTAGGTAGGTAGGTAGGAAGGTAGGTCGGTAGGTAGGTCGGTAGGTAGGTAAGTAGGTAGGTAGGTAGGTAGGTAGGTAGGTAGGTAGGTAGTAGGTACGTTCGTAGGTAGGTATGAGGGGCTTTGGAAGGGCAGATGTGTTTTGGGGTGGTTTTGGATGGTTTAGTGGGTGTGTGTGTGTGTGTGTGCGTGCGTGGGTGGGTGTGTGTGTGTGTGTGGGAGGGCAAGGTCAGTGGGCAGGGTTGTTGAGGCTCGCACGGCGCATGCCCAGGGCTAGGGGCATCATCATTGGTTTTTCAGTGTCGTGGTGGTGGTGGTGGTGGTGGTTGTGGTGGTGGTGGTGGTGGTGGTGGTGTGGGGGTGGCGGTGGGGGTGGCGGTGTCGGTGGCGGTGGCGGTCGTGGTGGCGGTGGCGGTGGCGGCGGCGGCGGCGGCGGCGGCTGGCGCTGGCGGTGGCGGTGGCGGTGGCGGTGGCGGTGGTGGTGGTGGTGGTGGGGGTGGTGGTTTGGGTGGTTTGGGTGGTTTGGGTGGCGGTGGGGGCGGGGGTTGGTGCTGTTGCTGTTGCTGTTGCTGTTGCCGTCGGTTGTTGCTGGGATTGTCAATCTTGCTCTCGTTGGCAGTCTTGGAGTCTTGGGCGGAGGGACGGGGTCAGGTGATGCAGGTTGGTCTCGGACCAGCATCGTGAAATGGGGTCGTGAGGAACTCCTGTGCTGCTGTCAGGCTGTACGGAAGCCACCCGCAGCTGAAAGTGCCTGGCCGCGTGGCCAAGACGACATCAGTAGCTTGGTTGATGTTCCGTCCATGCACGCGAGAGTCGGTAGAGCCCAATGCGAAAGCAATGCTGAAGCATGACACTTTCGGAGGGTTGACTTGTCTTCGTCGTGCTCACCAGGACAGGTTTCCGCCTCCCAAGGTCTGCAACTTAGCCTCTGAAAGCTCAATGCAGTTGTGAGAAGCTCGAAATTACAGCACTTCGCCGAGGAGGACAACACACCTCTCTGACCGGAGGGGTTTTCGCAGTGATTCTGCCTGGTGTCGAGTTCCATTGGCGTAGCCTAAGCCTCCAGCCAACACTAGTTGCACACGCATGCTAGCCAACAGTTACATCTTGCAAGGCTAATCTGCTGTCGTGGAGGCTTGTGTTGTAGCAAGAGACTAATGAACCTGGATGCTAGCACGAACTCTCGGTGTTTTTCCTTCTGCATCCAAAGCGGCCAAGACGCCCAGAAAACTGGCTGTCTTTGCCGATCGTGTGCATCGAGATGTGATGGAAGGCAGCAACAGAGGACAAAGAAGAGGACTCTAGCGTCAAAGGTTCAAGCCGGTAGTTGCGGAGATGTACTGTGCTGTTGGGCATGTTCAAGCTGCATCCTTCGCCGGCTTCGCAAACCTGCCAGCATCGCAAAGAAGTAAGAGCCTGGGCAAAGTCCTCCTGGGGTGGTACCAGCCGAGGAAATCGGCAAGGAGAGAGCCAGAACCTTTCGACTGCGTCAAGCCACGTCAAAGCCGAAAGCCTTTGTGGAGGCCAAGTGTATGGACCTGGAGCCTCTCTGTCATGACTGTGCCAGGGCCTTTGAGGGTGGCGGGTTGGTACAAAGTTTGAGTGCGACAGGGAGCCTGCAGCCCCAGGTTAATCGGTGAGATGACCAGTCATCACCCCAGAGACACTCCGAAATTGCATCTGAGCTTTGTCATCTCAATGCAGCTGAGAGAGCTGAGGCAGGCTCCTTGAGATGCCCCGGGCAGCTTCCCTAGACTCGGATGCAGGACATGGCAGGATGCAGGTGGTCGACGTCTTCGAAAGAGAGTGCTGCACCTGAGGGCGCCAAGATGCTTGGCTCCACGATCCCAACATCATTCGCAGGGGGCAGCCCAACGGGCGGTCCGAGCGGTACTTCGGTGCCCCATGCATAAATGTGGGAAGAGACAAGGCCACCTCGGAACCGAGAATGGTTACCGAGGTGCAGATGCCACCCGTGATGCCCCTGCCACCGCCACCTTCGGCAGCTGCTGCACAGTCACAGTCTTGGATTAGCCTCGATGCTTCCGAGCCTCTTTCCAGGAGTGCAAGTCTCAATTGGTTCTTCTCCGTGCAACTTTTCAGAATTTCAGGAGCCAGCAAGGCACCTTGACGACCTGCATGAAACACGTTCAGCTTCTGCTCTTCTTCTGATGCTCAAGGGCTCTTTTGCTTGCAGACGGTTCGAATCTCCTCTGCCGGAGAGCAAATCACAGGAAGGAGGGTGTTCAGGTCCTTCGTCAGGCATGCCATGACCATGGCATCGTGTTGCCGGCGAGGGCCAAATGTCAACCGAAATAGGGTGACCACTGCATGGCATGATCATGTTGCGGGCCTACGAAACAACGAACCTTACATCCATGGAGTCTGTCGGACTGCGGGCTTGTACCGGCGCTTGCGTAGCGCGGTGTTGCACTGCACACTGCAGAACTTGCTGTGGAAACTGTCCGACTTTTTGCAAATCGCCTGTTCCCAGCATCTCGAAGCTTGGAGCAAAGAAGCTGCAGTCCGTTTTGCGACAACCCAGGTGGGCTCAGCATGCTTACACTGCAAGCACGCAGGCATGGGCAATTCCTGAAATTCGTTGCGGTGTCGACCTCGACTCGTCCAGGCAGCAGCAGCCAAAGCCGCAGCAGCCAAGGCAGCCGAGGTGGCCGCGGCACAGGCCGCAGCTGCGCAGGCGCGCCTACAGTATGCATTCTAATTATACTCTACACGTACTCGTTGGCAGAGGCAGGCGATCTTTTCTTTCCGGCAGCTTGCAATTTCCTTTAGGTTGCGCTAGGCCTTGCCACCTCTGTCCAAGTTTCACTCCGTTGTGGAATGCTCGCAGTCCACGCCAGCCACGCTCTGCATCTGCTTTCGCAGGGTGTGACTTCTCGAGAGAAGGGTTTAATTGAACTCCTGACGCATGCGTCGTGTTGGTGCCTCGGCCAGAAGCTTTGATGGCGAGCTTGAACATAGTCTTACTGGACTCTGAGTCCCCCCTGTCCAGCAGGGCTTGTGGCTGCACGAAGGGAAGACTCTTTGGCATTTCGAGGTCTTGCAGGGCTGCCCGGCAGCCACGCAGCTGGACCCGGACTCTCCAGCGGCAGGGCGGAGTCTCCTCCGTGTCGGCAGTGGGAGGAACAGGAGCTCTTGGAGATTGCGTTGAAAACTCCTCCACGACAGAGTGCTTTTGCAGCTCATGGAGACCTCGCCGCAGATGCTGACGCCTGCGTCACATAACTGACATGCTCAGGTCGCCGAAGGCTGCATCGCCAGCCTCGACGGCAGCAGCTTCCTGGGGATCCATACCAGGTTCAGACTCCGTCGCCTGTGAAGCAGGTGAAGTCTCCTCGCGGCAACAGGCTAGATCGAGTCGAGTCTTGATCCCTGCTGGCGTGGGCATGAGGTTCTGATGGTGGATGGTGTCTTCGAAGGTGTTCCGAGGATAGCCGATCGGCGTGGTTCACTGCGTGGTCTTGAACAAGTGGTGCAAAAATTAGGCAGCAGCTCTTTGTCAACCCGCGAGACGGCAGCAGGACAAGCTCTACCACAGCGGCGAATGAAGTACAAGCTGCAACTCTTCACGGCAGATCAAGCTCGCTTGACACACGCACCATGTGTCGTCCTGACACGCCAGCCGAATCAGGCGCGCATGTTAGTGGGCCTTCCTCCATGGCTTGGTTGACTTCGAAAACCAGCTCTGCCTGGACAAGTGCGGATCCGAAGAGTGCGACTTGCAGGCGGTCCCTCTGCTGCAGCAAAGCACTCTCGCGCTGCCAGCTGGAGTACTTCCAAAATGTCAAGCGAAACCCGAACAAGAGCCTCGGTCCGCCGGCGTGGCTGAGTGACAGCCTGTGTGATCAGAACAGCAGCCTGGATCTCTGAGAAGCTCATGCATGAATTGTCCTAGCACATGTGACGAACGTCAGCGTTCACGGACGTGATCGAGGTTGCATACTGGCCCCCGTACATTAGGGCGTGACCGTGTTCGCACACGACCTACTACGAGGTCGGGGTCATGTACGGGGGCCAGTACGCAACCTCCAGCACGTCCGTGTGCCTGAACGCGAGCTTGTTCAATTGGCCTTGTTCAAGCCACCGACCTTAAACTTGTCCACGAACACGATTGGGAGCACGACATCGGGCAAGTACATGTCCGTGTACGAGCACCTGAACGCGTTCTCGAACCTGGCCAGGAGCGAGGACGAGGCCCAGCACAAGTTCAAGCCCGCGTCCCGGGACGTCTACGTCTCTGGCCTCCTGAGTGCCCTGAGGGCCCAGCCCCTGTACAGTTGCAGCACGCTGCTGCGGCTGGCGCCTCGCCTTGAGGCGACTGCGGCCTCTGGGAGCCGTCCTTTTGGCTCTGCCCCGAGGGCATGCGGCGACGAGTCTGCCAGCCTGAACCTCCGTGCGATATTCATACAATGTCAAATTCTGTTACAGTGTAGTACAGTATAATGCACAGTGGTCCATGGAGTGTCGGCGAGCCTGCCGTATGTCCATTCCTCAAACGCAGTCCGCTGGCTCCAAGTCTGCATGGAGCCCTGTGCAGTAGCGATTGGCAGCTGCGCAGGCAGAGGAGATGAGTTGTCCAAACTTGCGAGAAACAGCACGCGCTTAGATCCGGTCAGTCTGTCCACATCGAGAGCCATTCGTCGGGTGTCCCTTACTGCTCTGGGTGCAGGCTGCGGCCACTCAGGCGCAGGTGGCGCAGGTCAGTGCGCAGCAGGCTCCGGTCTCAAAAGAGCGTTGCTATCCCTAACAAACACTCAGACAGAGAGGCAGAGAGCAGAGAGAAGGGGGGGAGAGCCGAGGCGGCGGCCGCGCAGGTGGCGCAGTCCCTGGGCCAGGGACCTTGGGGGCCCCTGGGCTGACTCGCAGCTTTCTCTTTGGTTTGCTTTGGAAGCCAGGCTACAACGTGGCTCCCGTCGGTGTTCCCACAGCAGCTGCCTACGGGGACCCCGGCCCCGGCCTGTGTGCAAGCCGCCGTCAGAGCGCTGCTTAATGCCTTTGCAGGATCTGCCGTCTGCGGCACCGCCATATGGCCTTAGCTCTCCGAACCCCATGCCGACAACCCTATCTTCAGTGCACCCGCAGCCGCCTCGTCTCAGTCAGGTCAATATGGTCAATGTTGCGATGAGTGCAAACGCTTCAGGCTGTGGATCTTGCCGGCTGCTCTGGCAGCATCTTGCTTCGAAGGACGCGAATCTTCGCGCTGCAGCAGACCTGTCATGGCCGGAATGATCAACGAAGCTTTTGTGTCGTTCGACTATGTCTGAAAGCCTCTGAAAGCATAGCTGCTCTGACAGCAGGAGCACGACCTGGGTCCAAACCATCGCCGGGGGAGGTTGGGGACAGGGAGTCGGCATGCCTTGCAGCTTCTGATCCTGCCTTGCGCCTCGGCAGTTCCTGTCATCTGTTCCGGCGGACTTCCTCAGCAGCGAAAGCTCAAAGACGTGCTTTCGGCAAGAGCAGTACTCGAGCTCGGACGAGACGGACCCGGCAATGTGAAACTCGAGGAAAGGGTGCGACTCGGGCTGTGAAGGCTGAATCGGGCCATGTGGGTGCATGATGAGACGCGCCAATCGGCGCGTCAGATCTCGGTGAAAAAGAGCCATGCATGCAGCGACGTTGCAGTTCCTTCCGCAGGTCCTGGTAGCGCAGGCGGGTCAGAGTAGTCCTTTGTAGCATGGCGCATCAGTGGAGGGGAATGCCATGGCGCGGTTCTCGTGTCGAGGAGTTCGCAGAGGCCACACTTCAAGCTTTGCATGTCGCTTTGGGCCTGTGCGGCATACAGCCCGCCGACGGACAGCGCAGGTTCGGGAGTGTCGGACATGGGATGCGCGGCCCTCTGAAGCTCGCCCGTCATTCTGGCAGGAAGGCCTGCGGTCCGGGTGCCGAAACTGTGTCGGGATCCATAGATTGATATTCAAGCGGAGCCTGGCTGCGGAGGCTACGAACTCGATCCTTAATGCCTTTGTCCGAGCTGGAGACT